CGTATAAGTAATGTCTCCATATCTTGAGAGCGAACAATACTGCCCCAGCTCCAAATCGTGCGTAGGGTATCTCGTCTCATGCGGCTTCAGCTGCCGCGATGCATAGGCTATCACTCGTCCTCTCTGCATGAGGACTGCCCCCAAACCTGTGATGGATGCATCACAGAACACCACAAAATCCTCAACTCCCTCCGGGAGTGTCAAGACTGGGGCCTCGCATAACCGCTGCCGGAGGGTCTCAAATGCCCTCTGCTGATCAGGGCCCCACCGGAATTCCACCCCCTTCCTCATCAGACGAGTGAGGGGTACTGCAATCTTGGAGAAATCCTGAATGAATCTCAGGTAGTACCTTGCTAATCCTAAAAAGCTCCTGACGTCTGAGGGCGATTTCGGAACCTCCCACTGCATGACCGCCTCGATTTTGGCCGGGTCGACCAAAATCCCATCTTGGTTAACGAGGTGCCCCAGGAACTGGACCTCTCGTAACCAAAACTTGCATTTCGAGAACTTGGCATAAAGCCGTTCTCACCTCAGAACGCCCAATAACTCCCGCAGATGCTCCTCATGCTGCTCTCGGGTCTTGGAATACACCAAGATATCGTCGATAAACACTATGACCGAGCGATCGAGCATCGGTTTGCAGATCAGATTCATCAGGTCCATGAATATTGCTGGCGCGTTGGTGAGTCCAAACGGCATCACCACGAACTCGTAATGTCCATAACGGGTTTGGAACGCGGTCTTCTCCACGTCTTCCTCTCTGACCCTGACTTGATGATACCCATACCTCAAGTCTATCTTTGAAAACCAAGACGCGCCCTGTAATTGATCGAAAAGGTCATCTATCCTCGAGAGTGGATAACGGTTTTTCACCGTTAACTTGTTCAACTCCCGGTAATCAATGCACATCCGGTGCGAACCATCTTTCTTCCTGACGAAGAGTATCGGTGCTCCCCATGGGGAACTGCTAGGTCGGATGAACTGCTTGCCCAGCAGTTCTTGTAGATGTGACGACAGCTCCTGCATCTCTGGTGGTGCCAATCGGTACGACGCGTTAGCGATAGGGGCCACACCTGGCACTAGGTCAATCCTGAACTCGACCTGCCTCTCCGGAGGTACTCCGGGTAACTCCTCCGGGAACACATCAGCAAACTCTCTAACCACTTGGACATCTGAAACTGTAGTCTGATCCCTGTCCCGCGTATCCATCACATATGCTAAATAACCCGCACACCCGTGCTGAATGTACTGCCGAGCCCTGGCAGCCGAACAAAACCCTGATCTCACTCTAGTGCCCTCGCCATAAACAATCAGTTCTCCCCCACTTGGGGTTCGAACTACCACTCTCTGGCCCTCACAATCTATCATGGCACCAAAACGGCTAAGCCAATCCATCCCTACGATCACGCACACCTCCCCCATGGGAATCGGTATCAAATCTATCGGAAAGGACACTCCGAAGATCTCCAACTCGCAACCTCGATAGACCGAGGAAGTAGAAACTTCGTGTTCGTTGGCGATAGAGACTCGCAACGGACATTCTAGCTCGCTCACTGGCACACCAAACTCCCTACTAAAGGTCTGAGATACAAAAGATCGACTCGCCACCGAGTCAAATATAACCAAAGCAGGCAAGGAGTTCACTAAAAACGTACCTAATCACAGGTACAACGGATAAGCATAAAACAGATATAATAAATGAGATAGAGGATAGAAACATACCAGCAACCACATCTGGTGCTGCTCTGGCCTCCTCCGCTGTAAGCTGGAAGGCACGCCCCTGAGCCTTCGGGGGCTCTGCCTTAGCTGGCCTCCCATCTGTAATCCTCAAGGTAGCTGGAGCGGGTGTCTGTGCCGGCTTAGCGGCAAGCAACAGACAGTTGGCCTTCATGTGGCCAACCTGATCACAATGATAACACAACCTCATACTCGAAACCGGGGCGGGCTGGCGACAATCCTTCGCATAATGCCCCTCCTTGCCACACTTGTGGCACCCACTACCAGCTCGACAAACCCCAGAATGACCCTTGCCAGACTTTCCACAAGTGCGGCTCTGGTGGCTCCCAACCCTAGAATCAGCGGTCTTTGACCGCTTTGGCGCCGACTGTAACTGTGCCGGGGCCTGTCGCTACTCCCTCATCTGCATCTCAATCTCCAACTCACGCTGCCCAACGGCCTCCTGTAACTCCAGTAGAATATCGCATCGCTGTGTGGCAACAAACTGATGAATGCCAGTCTTGAGCATGTTCAGATAACGGGTCATCTGAGCTTGCTCCGATGCAAACTCCGGGCAGAACATCGCCCTCTCCGTGAATACCCGGGTGATCTCCGTCACCGACTCCCCCTCCTGTCTCAAACTCAAACTCCTGAGCCAATCGTTCCCACTCAACGCGAGGAATGTATCGAGCGCGGAACATATCCCTGAACTGCTCCCAAGTAACAACAGCTCTCTGATCATCCGTGTACGACCCTGTCGTCAATCTCCACCAGTCCTTGGCCCCAAGCCTCAGCAGGTTCAGGGCACATCTGACCTTCTGGTCAGTAGGACATGAACACGTGAAGAAACAACCCTCCAGGTCGGATAACCACCTCATAGCTCTAATCGTATCCTGGGTACCATCGAATGTCGGGGGCTTCATGTTATCGAAATCCCGGTACTGGAAGCCCTGACTGGCTCCACCTCCTCCTGCCGCTGTTACAGGCGATGCAGCTACAACGGAAGCCGTCTCTGTAAGGGCTGCATAACGCTCGTCAAAGTACTCAACCATAGCGGTCTTAATAGACCCAAACATCTCCGGTAGTTGTGCCCGGAACATGGTAGCAACCTCATCATGTAGGATTTCTTGAATCCTGGCATCCAACTCCTCTGTACCCATCTGCACCACAGGCTCCGGTGTTGTTGGCCCCTCCTGGCCTCTGTCTCCTGATCCTGATCCCGAATCGGACCCAGTCACAAAGCGTCTCGTCATCATCATTCTGAAACATACCACAAAATATCAGAGAATCTATATAAGAATTGGGAACCAACTCCCGATTAAACTCTAGGGGTTGTGACTTCCTTGATACACGTATGGGTCCTGTGCTTTCAGTAGTACGGGCCCATACTACCTTCCACATCTACCCATATTTGTCTCAAGTATCACCGCAACGCCCTAACTGCATACATAATCTGGCAAGCGCTCAATCCTCACTCCTAGAGCAATACTGAATATCTCATAACTGGCCTCCCGGCCTCACACAACCCACCCGACCATGAAACTTCCACCAACCCTGCAGTACTAGTGTATGCTAGCCATACATAACGCTGGACCCTATAGACTTTCGAATATCCAATCTTACCCTAAGCCCTAATCAATAAGAACAGAACATCAGGCTAAATCAAACATTCTCAGGCTATAAGATCTTAATTATGTACGGTCGTGATGCATACACTAAGCGACTACAGTAATGATGTTAATTTCATATAAGGAAGACCCTAGGCTATCAGGCATCATACAATCAGGCAATTCTATCATGCAATTCCTGAAGATCCATAGCCTAGTACTAGCATGCTGTTCTAACACATTGCAATATCAAGTAACTGTATGGTATTTTGGGATCTACTTACTGGCTCCGGCTGATCGTACACCCTGCATCCTCCTTTACTCATTTTGAAAACCTTTTGAAAAATCATTTTGAAAATCCTTTCCTTGATTTGAGACTGGAGTTACACGAGTTCTCCTCCAATTCACTCAAACCAAAGCTCTGATACCAACTTGTAACACCCATAAAATTCAAGCCAATTTAAAACTTTTTAAACAATCTAAAAACCATTAGTTATTACAAAACTTGTTTTCAAAAGGTATAATATCAGAGTATCCCAAAAACATAAACATAAATATGAGGAGTTGTACGATCACGCCTTCGCCTTGCCGCGATCCCCTGATGTACCTGAAACAATAAACTAAAACTGTAAGCCCGAGGCTTCGTGAGTTCCCCCAAAATACCAATACACTGCACACAATACATATACAAATAATAGCATGTACTGGGTCCACAGCCTTACAGACTGGAATACCCCTGGGCCCACAGTGTGAGTCTAGATTGCCTACCGGGCCCACAGTACGAGTCTGACACTACTAGAAAACAGACCTTTAATGACGCACACACGCAGTGATTTATGATACGCAAAAGCGTGTGACCTAAAAATAATGTCATCTCTCTAGAAATTTTAAGGATTTAGGACGTGCATTTTTGCATGCCCTAAAATTAGTGTTAGAAAAAAAATAAAAAAAAAACACGGAGGGCACTTATTATAAAATGTGTATCATCTAAACATGTCTCTTTATAAATTTTAATGAAACGCGCTCTTTAGTAACAAGCGGGAAAAAGAAAAACCGAAAATTAGAAAAGCCCGCTTTCGCTTCCCTCTTTACCCTAATCGGCGGTAATTCTTTCCCCTTCCCACATCGACCGCTAACTACTCCCCTCACACTCCGAACACCACTTTGTTCTCTTTCCTGGTCGTCGACCCTCTTCCATCGTCGACCCTCCGCCAACTTTGCATATTTTTCAGCGTCTTCCTCTGCCATCGACCTTCTTCAACGCCTTCATATGCAGATTCTACGCACCACCCCTTCCATACGAGCACTTTGTAATCGACGACTTGATTAGCGTCTCCTTACCTTTCTCTGTCTCACCTCACCTCGTTGGCAACCGTAGGCTCACCTCTATTCGCCGACCATTGAGACTCATCAGCAATGACGACTGTGTCCCGAATCCGCTTCCCCTCTACAATACTCCACCTACTACAACTACTCATGAGCTTCTTTTCTACCTTTTTTCCATCAGTTCTCTCACATATCCCCTCGTGCATCTCCGCCCCTCACCCATCTCCACAGTCTCCAACCCTCACCGCCTCTTCTTGCCTCATAGCCCTCACCTAACAACTTTGATTTGAAGAAATTTAAGGAAGTAGAATTTGTTCAAGAATAAATTGCAGATGAAACCCTAATAGGATTATGCGACAACGGAAGATAACGATGGCGTTGGAGAGCAAGCGTTCTTGGTTGTTTCCTTCTCATGCTCTGTACTTTTTTCCAGGTATTTTAATCCGATCTGTAAACCCGATCTGTAATTAGTTGTTGATACGAGTTTCTAAAAATTACTGGAAAGAGGAATCAAAAGTTCAAAAACACGTTTGTAGTTGCAGAACCCACATCCCTCTGTAAAACTTTGAATTCTATTAGAAAATCAAATATATTCAACATAGCCAAACTAAATTTCTTGGAATAGCTCATTCCCCTACTTACATGTTCTTACAGTGTTTTTTTTTCTTCTTCTATGTAGCAATGATTGCAAAGGTAGCAATTGTTGTGGTGGGTGGTTTTCTAGGATGGATTTATACACGAATCAAACCACCACCTCCTAGGGTTTATGGATCACCTGGTGGACCTCCTATTACTTCAGCTCGAATCCAACTTAATGATGGAAGACATCTATCTTACAGAGAGTGGGGTGTCTCCAAAGATAAAGCCAACAACAAGATCATTGTCACTCATTGCTTTTATATCTCCAAAGACATGAAACTCCTAATTTCTCAGGTATCATGAACACTATATTCATTGTCTTTAACATTTTGGTCTTTTTTTTTATATATCTTGTCATAATGACAGGAACTTTGTTAAATATCATCTACACTTATATCAATTCAATATCATCACTTTGTTAAAAAGACTAAAATACCCCTATGTTGCCTTCTGAAACATGTGTATTGTTTTGTGTAGTCGTTCTGGATGGATGGTCAAACTAGTAATTTACAAAGCAACGAAGTTATTGCATTGGATAACAATTCAGCCCCACTTTATGATCGAGGGTACACTTTCGGATTAACTTCAACAGATTAACTCCAAAGTATTGGAAGTGATGAAGGGGAGGAACAAAGCGGGGCCCACTACGGATTCTTTGGGTGATGCTTTAGGGATTGCACAACATCATGATGGTGTTAGTGGAACTGAATAACATGTGGCTAATGATTATTCAAAACGGTTGGCTATAGATCAAAAGGATGTGAAAACTGAAAACTATTTGTGTATTTTTATTTTATCAAAAGTTTTGTCTGTTTTTAATTTGGTTATATATGAAAAATAAAATTATATTAATTTCTTGCAGACTGAAGTGGTGGTTGCAGAGTCTATAGCTTGTATGGTATCATCATCGACACTTGGATGTGGATGTTTAGCAACCAATTTTCAACAGGTATATATATGTAACTCAAGTATTTCTCTTTACACACATAACATAACACTATTAAATGGGGTTGATAATTTTTTTTCTTCATCAATTTTCAGTGTCCACTTCTGAACATAAGCTTAGCTATTGCCCTCTAACTGAAACGGATCTATCATCTGGAAAAAAATTGGTAATGAGATGCTTTATATTTTTATCTTCTCCATGAAAGTCAACAAAAACTATTATATTCTCTATATCTACATAAATGTGAAATGGAAATATGGAATATTGATTTTTGTATTGTAGGTGGTTGTTGTCTACAATTCCCTAGGGTGGAAGAGATCTGATGTTATAAGACTTCCAGTGTGTATCATTTTAGGTTTTGAACTTTTGGTTGCATCTAAATCACTTTTTTTGGATAATAATAACAATAATAATATATTATGCACATTAAATGTGAATATATAACAGGTTGTGAGTGAGAATATTGTTGTCTATGACTCGAATGGAAAAGAAGTAGAGTATCAACTTCTGCCCATAGTAAATGACGCTATTGCCCTTAGAAACTACTACACCAGTGCATATACTGGCAAATCACCAAGTTCAACTCCCAAGTATTCACTTGCATTTACAGCATCTGTTCCACCTCTGGGATTTACCACCTATGTCATTTCACAACAGCACCTGTAAACATTTGAGTGAGTGCAAGTGAAAAAGAAACGAGCTGGTCGGGATAGCTGGGCTGGTCCCTACCCAAAGTAACGACATATGGTAACTCTTGTCTTGTCACTGTACCATCTGGTTGTGTATAAAAGCTCAATTGCACAGCCTCCTGCCATAATAATAAAATATAATAAAAAGATCTTAAGTTTTATATGAAGAAACAATAAAAATTATATTACTACCTTGTCCAATTTTCTCTCAATGAACAACACTAATTGCTTCAATTTTTCCAAGTACTGCACATTCTCATGCCTCAAGTGCAATTGCAAACTGTAGTCACCCTTGGGCAGTTTTGCCTACTTTGCTGATATTCCAGCTGAAGCATTCAAAACCCTAACTTCATTGTCTGGAATTGCTGGTTTCACTTTTTATTTGATCCGTGGTGAAAAGACTCTTGACTTGATCAAGAGCAACTTCCCATCAGGGAAATACATTTTTGCTGGAGTTGTTGATGGAAGGAACATCTGGGCTAATGATCTTGTTGGTTCTCTAGCTGGTCACAAAGACGAAGCATTCTTCTCCGCCAATGCTACTGCTCAGGTTTCAAGGAAGTCCTCCTTTTCCTTTTCCTTATATATATATATATATATATATATATATATATATATATATATATATATATATATATATATATATATATATATATATATATATATATATATATATATATATATATATATATAATTACTGTTAAAAAAGTTGATGCTGACACCTGCATTCTCAGGCCGTTGCTTTGAGAAGCTCTGACCACCGTCGTGCCACCAATGTTAGTGCCAGGCTGGATGCCCAACAGAAATTACACGAAATTACACGAAAATTAGGTGATGTTGATGGTTTAGCACCAGTAAGATATAATCTAAATTCTAAATTATCTTTATCTTTTGTTATCTGGGATTTCATTTCTTTATTGTGTATTTTTTTCTTCTAAATGTGTAGGTTTGGAATGCTGATGTCAGATTTTATCGTATCAAGGATTTATCAAGAAAACCCATTTCCTATTTTTACTTTGATCCATACTCTCGCCCAGCTGAGAAAAGAGGTGGTGCATGGATGGATGACAAAAACTCTGTTAGGTTACCAATTGCCCATATGGTCTGCAACCAAATGCCACCTGTTGCTGACAAGTTGTCAGCAACAGGCCTTATGACATTTCGTGAGGTACATCCATCCATACATGCATACTACATAGCAAAATGAGATGATGGAAATATGATGTAATGTAATGTGTGCAAACTTATGTTGTTTATATTTTGGTTGAAAGCTCTTAGTTAGTCCAATTTTTTAAAAAAGTAATCCATTTGAGTTTGGGCATATATTTTTGGTTATTAATTTAGGTGGAGACCACTCTTGTACGCGGATGGGCGATATGAGGATGTACGATGTTATATTATTACCTTTGGTTTTCTTGTATATACCTTACCTTTTGAGGTGGTTGGATTCCTCAGGAATTGGAATTGAATTCCATTTGTTTCACAAAATCCTACCAGTGATTCCATAAATTCATGTTATTTCAATTCCAATTTCTACAAATATACAAGCATACGCAATCTAAGCACCATTATTAACGTTGTAGTATGCTGGTTATCATCAAATTTTTTAGTTGGATCTTCTGCCAACCAAACGCGTGATAGATTCCATATCTTCTTCAATTCTAGTTCCTACCAAAACATTGCTACTGTTGAATACAAGGTAGGGGCCTTTATGTCTTTTCACCAACATTGTTGCATATTCTTAACTTATTCAATTTTGGCAGGTTGATCCTGCTACATGGCCAATAATGGTCTTTAGGGTCTGCTAGAAGGATTGGAGATTGCAGTTAAGCTTCTATCTAAGACTTCACGCCAAGGACTTGATGAATTTAAGCTTGCAATGTTTTACTTGATTTGGACATGAACCCTAAGATATCATACTTTGGCATGGCTAGAAGCTTTGGAGGAAACGAGACTCAAGAAAAAGCAAACACACAGAGAGTTGTTGGCACATAGTAAGCTAGATAATGCAATTGTATATAAATTTTGCTTCTCTTGAGTTCATTTTTTATAACATTCACTCACTATTGGAATAATTATTTGTATTTGACATATTAGTGAAATGAATTATCTTTGTTATTTATGGTATTTTATTTTGTATTATGAAATTTTTAATGTGTTATTTAATTTGAAAACTAGTGAATCTATCAAAATATATAATTTTTAAAACATTTAACTTTGTGACACGCAAAAATGTGTGTCATCTTTCTTTATGACAGGGGCTTTAATGATATGCAATGCGCGTCGTAAATGTCCGTCGTAAGGTTACGACACGCAAATGCGTGTCGTCTTCTTTATGACAGGGCCTTCCTTGACATGCATTGCGTGTCGTAAGAGCGCGTCGTAAATAGATGACGCACAAAAGCGCGTCATCTCTCGTTATGACAGGGCCTTCCTTGACGCGCATTTGCGCATCGTAAAAGGCTGTTTTTCTAATAGTGTGGATTGCCTACCGGGCCCACAACTCATATCTGGAATGCTCCTAGGGTTCGTTGGCCACCGCATGAAGCAACACGTCCTCAACCTATCCCACATAACATATCATCATATAACATAACTACTGAGCATGCAGATAATCATATAACAACACAAGTAGTCCTACAGATCTACCTAACTAGATAACCACTAACATGCAACACTAATTCATACTCAACTTCTAACACTGCTAGGATAACATATCCAATGGGCCGACCTTGGTGCCTTAGACCCCTTAGTATAGTGAGGATAACTCACCTCGCAACTGTCGTCTGAAACTAGAAAGCTCAACTCCCGGATCACCACCACAAACTCCACCACCTATATCTGACACATCACAAAGTTCATAAATTCCCAAGATACTCCTAGAAGTCCAATAGTCAACCCTCGGCCAAAGTCCAAGTCAACTTTCAAGGTCAACAATCCATGTTGACCTCAACTCGTCGATTACCCTTAGCTACTCGCCGAGTTCCTGGCATGACTCGCCAACTCGCCGAGTCACTTGAGTGACTCGTCGAGTTCCTAGTGTCAATGGCCGTAACTCCGTGGCTAACTCGCCGATTTTCCCTTTTCAACTAGTCGTGCTCATACGTGTCCGAAGGTTGGGAAAACCCTAACCGACTCGCCGAGTCATTATACTTACTCGTCAGGTCTACTACAATCTTCAACGGACTCGCCGAGTTGTTCATCCAACTCGTCAAGTACATGACTATCTTCATGTGGCTCGCCGAGTTGACTATGCAACTCGTCGAGCCCCTTCAGACCTTCAACCATACAGGTACTTTTTTAAGCCATGCAACGGCCCCATATTGCAGATCTAAGCTCCTAGGGCATGCTTATCACGTAAAGTTGCAAACTTTACGTGCATGCAAGGCCCTAGAGACTGTAAATGACTAATCTAAGCTTTCAATGGAGCTCTACACCTTAGGAGAGTCTCATTCTTGCAAAAAGCTGGAGGCTTTATGGACTTAGAGACCCAAAAGAGTTCAGATATGAAGTTGCAACCTTAGATCTTAGCTCAAACACAATAAAGGCTTCCTAATAAGCTATAAAAGCCCTAAAATCCACCCAAAATAGATCTAGAATGAAAGGGGGTTAGGATAACGGCTTAATACCTTCCAGAAAGGATGCCAACTGAGGTAGATTTCTGGTTCCACACGTTCCTTGCTCCTAGTCACTTAATTTCCAAGCTTTTTCCCACCAAAAATCCTCTTCCCAAGCTTAAAAACACAAATGGAGTATGCCCATACGAATTAGGATTTGAGGGTGTCAAGTAACTGTAAAGGGGAGGCTGGGGAAGGCCAATGATCCTTTAAATAGGGTGCAATGCCACGGGATTTAGGGTTTCATCTGCCAGCTCCTACTCATCGAGTCCTTTCTTGGACTCGGCGAGTAGGTCACTAAAATACGTGGACCAAGCCGCTGCTACTCGACGAGTAGGGCAACCAACTCGTCGAGTAGACCTTGAATCAAGGAAATTATTATACAAAATCGATACCAGAGAATCAGGGCGTTACACTCCACTAATCCTTCGCTCCGGACTGCAGAAGGTTTAGAGCGTACTTGACCCTCTGGTCAGCTAGGCAAAGGAAAGTGAAGAAACATCCTCGATGTCAGATAGCCACCTAATGGCAACGATTGGATCCTGATCTCCATCAAATGTCGGGGGCTTCATATTGTCGAAGTCCCGATACTGAAAGGTCCTCCCAACACCAACCCAGACAGCAACAACAGCAACCTCAGAAAATGCAGTGTATCGCTCATCAAAGTACTCCACCATAACGGTCTTAATAGACCCAAACATCTCTGGCATCTGTGCCCGAAAGAGGGAAACAACCTCCTCCTGAAGGATCTCCCTAACCCAATCCTCAGACAAAGTTGGCCTATCCTGATTACCAGCTCCCGATCCTGATCCGGACCCTGTCTCAAATCGCCTCGTCATCACCATACTGAAAATAAACCTAGGAGATATCAGATAAAACGTATATCATAGCAGGGAACCAACTCCCAACAAAGCCCTAGGGTTTGTGACTTCCCTGCTACGTGTACGGGTCCTGTGCTTGAATACCAGTATTTGTCTCAGAGGATCATCACAACAACCCTGCTACGTGTACATGCCCATACTTCCATCCACGCCAACCCGTATTTGTCTCAGAGGATCATCACAACAACCCTAACCAAACATACTATCATACGCATACACTCTATCCTCACTATCTAAAGGAAGGCTACACATTACGTGACTGGTCGGCAGACCCCACACAATTCATCCATGAAACTACCACCAACCCTGCAACACTCGTGTGTCCTAATCATTCATAATACGGGACCCTATAGAAACTTGAATACCAGATTCTATCCTAAGCCCTTTATCAAACAAATATAGGAAATAAGGCCAAATCAAACATTCTCAGGTTATAGAATCTTAGTTATGTACAACTATGATGCATACACTAAGCAAATATAGTAATGATGTCAACTCCATATAAAGAAGAATCCCTAGGCTACCAGGCATCATATAATCAGACAATTCTATCATGCAATTCTAGAAAATCACTAGCCTATCACTAGCATGCTCTTCTAACATATCACAAGATCAATAAAAGTATGGTAATTTGGGGTCTACTTACTGGCTCCGTCTAATCGTACACATCGCATCCTCCTTGATTATTTTGAAAACAATTTGAAAATCATTTTTAAAATCTTTTTCCTTAGTTTGAGAGTGGATTCACACAAGTGTTCCTCCAATTCACTCAAGCCAAGGCTCTGATACCAACTTGTAACACTCATAAAATCACAAGAAATATAAACTTTTTTAAGCAACCCAAATTCATAAATTGTTTACAATCATTGATTTCAAAACACTTTCAAACATCAGAGTCTCCCAAAATCATAAGTCATAAAAGAAGAGGATGTGTACGGTCATGCCTTTGCCTTCCCGCGGTCATCTAAAGTACCTTAAACATAACCCAAAATTGTAAGCCAACGCTTAGTAAGTTCCCTCAAAGTAACAACACATAACATAAGCATAATAACAAATAGCATGCAAGCCTTCAGCCTGACTGGAACGCCGCACCGGCCTACAGACTATCTGGTACGCTCAGAGAACCTTCATCATGACTGTTACACCTCACCGGGCCTTCAGCCTATCCGGAATGTTCTCTGGGCCTTCGGCCTGACTGGTACGCCCCTCGGGACTGCAGTCTATCAGGGACTCCCTGGGTCTCTTGGCCTTCAGACTACACCGGTCTGCCTCAACCCAACCACATATAAACCATGTCGACATATTCATAACATATAAGCATACATATAACTAGTCAACAGACAATCAGACATATCTTACAGATCACTAAGAATACATCATCCTATATACCAGGATACCGATCTAACTGATCACCACAACACAAAACATACTATCACATAACATGATATCTAATCTAGTGGGTCGGCCTTGGTGCCTTCGAGTCGTAACTACAGTGAGGAAAATTCACCTGACAGACTGAACAATAGCTGATGAGGTCCCGACTCTGAATCTCAGCTCAAACCTTTACCTATCCAACCAAATGACCAATCATGATCAAAATCCCAAAATACCCAAAATACCCTTAAGTCAAACTGGTCAATCCCACTGAGTCAACTGAGTCAACCCAGCCGAGTCACCTCAGAATGAGTACCCTGGGCGTACTCCGAAGGTACGCTGGGCATACTCGCCTCCTCGTACGTTGACCACCATCGGGATGGTTGACCTCGTACGTAGGACGTACTCCTAGTATGCAAGGCGTACTCCCAGAAGATTCAAAACTCAATAAGTGCTTAATGTCTTAAGCACTTACGTCTATATTTCAGATCCATGGCTAAATACACTCAAGAGTCATAAAGTGTCAAACTTTATGACTTTGCATGCCCATTAAGTGCTTAACTCAACTTCTAAACCCATTAATACATTCTACAAGATGCATGGAGCAAAACCAACCATTTGAAACCTATTTTTATGACTCAAGACCCTCCCAAGGGTCTGAAAGGACAACTTAATGGGTCAAGAACTCTTGGATTAGGTATCTAAGCCCATAACTATAATTGGAATGTACTTGACCCGAGAGTAGCACGGTCCATTTTCGGTTGCATTCACCAGAACAATCTGATAGGATGGATATTTGAGAAAGAGGTTTATTATTTAAGTAGTATTGATCAAAAATTAATTTGGAATTAATTTAATGATCAAAAGAGACTAATTAAATATATAGGGACTGATTGTGTAAATCAATGATACATATAAGTTGGTTTAATAAAGCATGATTGATTAGTGATGGATAAGCTTATGAAAGGATCCAAAAAGTGTTAGTCCATTACAAGCCCAAGTGTAAGAATTAGGGTTTACACATCAACCTT